GACATTTAAAATGTGTTCGGATATTTTAGAATGTCCATAGTTGTACCTAATTCATTTATTACCATCAAGTCAAGTGAAACATATAGCCTCTTCACCTATCAAACATCCAGAATTTTTGCTTATAATATATGTTGCTATGCATATTTAAATTTATTCAATAATGTTGTTATAATGCATTATAAATATTTATTATTTTTGATACACATAATAGTTGGAATATAATACGCAAAGTTTTGCTAATATAGACAGATTGATATAAGAAGGTGTATTGAAAATAAATACTGAATTTCCAATTAAACTCGCCGGTAATTAATGAAACTTTAATATATTTTTAAGGAAATTTGGTACAGCCCTCGGCAGGACTTCAAGATAAAATATGCTCCTAAATTGGTTGGAGAAGTAAGTATCATTTAAGTTGTATCACGGAGCACACAAAGATATATACAAGATCAGAGTCATAGTAATATATATATATATTTTTATATATATATATATATATATATATATATATATATATATATATATAAAAAGTCATTTTTATGTTTATACATTCTTTTTATAGATAGAAATATTTAAGTAAATGCTCTGTTTATAATAAAAAATATTAATAACATTTCCGAGAAACTTTCATAGAAAATATTCGTTCTCCGACAGGAATCGAACCTGTATCCTATACGGAACCGTCATATAGCCTAACGTGCCTTAAGCGATCGAGCCACAGAGGATCGTTCAATTGCCAAGGTCGATTTTACTGCTTTTAAACTACAATCTTCCATGAATCTCTCACGTACATTCATATCTGCTCAATGCATATCTAAATGTAAACTAATGACGTCACACATTATGAAATGGACAAAGTCCGACAATTCTTTTAAGACATTTTTATGTTCATACATTCTTTTTAAAAAAAAAATTTAAAATTTAACTATTAACTGTTCTCCAAAATGAAAAGAGACTTGGCTTTTAACCAGCATCGCAGTGGTGATCACGTCTAACTATTGTTGATGACCTTTTTGACCAACATAATGAACAGTTTTCTTTGTAAAGTCAGATATCTGTTTACATGGAAAGAAACAATGCACTTAATAAGAAGAAGAATTTGAAATTAATTCATATAAGATTTCATAGCACGAGCATCACTCCTTCATAGTCAGCCTATGAACCTTTCAGACGAAGCTCGTCGACACTAGTAGAACCTGAATAACTCTGAATATCAAACCATTGACGAGAATATCCATGATAACTGGTGATAATTTTCAGGACTTTTCCTTCTCTCAGATTAGTTACCACTCAAGTCTTCCCTGTTTATTTCACCCACAGTTACTATTTAACCGATACATACCTATATAATGATAGATGCCAACTTGTTTATCGAGTATCTCTATTTCTAACGCAGTAAAATTGCGCCAAAAAGCCAAGTCATCCAGGGAAAAAACCGAAGCAATACATGATCATTTGTTCGAATTTTCCGATAGCTGTATGCATGCTGAAGGCTTCTACTTCGAAAATAGACCGTAGGAAGTCAACGTTAGAGTAAATATTTGTTTCTGCACGGTCAATATCTTCGAACTTTTGGGCAACCCAGCGTAAATATTTAATGTGGCATGCAGATAAACATAAATATTTTTATGAGTAAGGTGACGTCATATGAGCTTAGCAATGAACACCCTATCATCCAAAAATATTTACCAAAACCTACAAAAATTAGACAATAAATATTTAGCCAAAATACGTGCGCGCGAGTACCAATTTACATACAAATAGTAACATCTACATATTTACAACATGGCAACGAACAAAAATGATACGTAGGAAGATTGTGTAGCGTTGAGCTTCAAAGTACTATTAAAGTATGGACACGCGGAGGTGTAATGGATAATGGCTTGGAATGATAAATTAGAGAGCCGAGTTCGAATTCTAGTAGAGTTCTTCACATTTACTTACACACAAATACCCTTGGGAAATTTATGAATCGATTTTCTCTTATTCCCGGTTATGGATAAAGACAGGCTTGGCCTTCTAGCCTTGTTTGGAAACCAGTCTAAGAAAAGGAAATCTGAATTCAAACCAGCCCTGAGAGTGTTTGGTTCCGTCAGGTTATCTAGGCCAAGACACACCACTACTGCTACGGCTGCAGTACAAGTGGTGCCTCTTAGACCCTAATAGGCTACGGGAGATTGTGATGATAGTAAATCTTTAAAGTGGGAACGATTTATCGTTGTTTCTACTATATTTAATGAAATAAAGGGCGCAAAATACATAGTTACTGGAGGAGATAGTTGTAAGGGCTTAAAAGGAGGAAGTTAGAACAGATTATTTTAAAAATATCTAGAATAGATAAGAGTTTGCCATAAAATTGAAATGATACGGGATGCATTGTCTTGGACGATTGTTCCATAATACTGGCGAAGAACATGTTTCATTGGAGCTGCTTTCATACCAATGGAATACGAAGGAAATGAGGATGATTCGGTTCTGTGTATGTGGCATGGCGGCTCTTAGGTGCGAAGGTCTGAACTGAAATAAAGAATCTAGCACATTTAAACATTTGGTATAAAGATAGCGATGAAAGAGCGAGGATCTAGCAACATTTCGATTGTGGGGAAGTGGTTGTAGAGTGGAAAACAATTTATCACTCAAATGGCCGTGTAGACGCATTTGAACTCTGCCAAGGCGGGAAATCGAAGATTGGTAAGCTCCAGCGAAGATATTTTTCATTTGATCTAACTCTTGAAAATCAACATGCGCAATAGCGTCCTTGAGCGCCGACCAACTGCAACTGAGATAAAAAGTCAACCCATGATTATTAGCGAAGATCAACTCAGTCTAGCACAAGGTCCCAACAGTGGAGCACTTCCTGAAAATTAACCACCTGAAAGTAGAATTCATTTGTCATTCTCGCTTTCTAACTATTGCGTTAGAGTAGGCGCCCAGTCACAGTTATATATATATATATATATATATATATATATATATATATATATATATATATATATATATAATGTGGATATCAATATTCTAATAGGCCATAATTTCATTCACTATATTTATTGGCTAAATCTGCCTATACTTTTATATTTCAGTCATTCATTTGTCATAAAACTTATTTTGTATTTCCTTTCTTAGCACTAGAAATGTTCTTTATTAAATACTTGTAACTCTCCTGTTTCCTCACACACAATAACAGAAGCACATAAATACACACGTGCATATACATATTCTAAGACAAGGGCATCCACAAAAATACATCCACGTAGACACCTCAATGTGAAGGTAACAAAATAATTATTCCAGTTGGAGTGTTGCTAGGTTTCATATTAATTCAATAAGTATCGTGTTAGTTGAAAGCAAACCTTTAATGAAATTCTCTTGTGATATATTAGAATAATTATTACAAAAATGTTACCAACACGAAAAGAAATGGAACTATATTCAAATAAACCCGGCTAAAAGATACAGAAAAAATATATTTATGACATTGATGTAAAAGATTCCAGAATTTTTCATAAATAATTTTGTAATATCATTTCATACCATCATTATTTACTCAATAAAGTATTACCCACTGAGAATGTCTGAACTTTCGTCAACGATTCGTCATTAAAGATTCCAGAAAAATGGTCGGTTCTAATGCTTGAAAATAAAGTACCTAACTTCCCTGATATGTTCTATCTTTATAAGGGCCAGATCAGATTAAACATTGAGTATTGCTGTCTTATCTGATTATCCTGCCCTCACTTTCCAGTCTTGATAGAGTTAAAAACAGTATACGCGGTCTTATGGGTGATGAATTATTTTCCACCTTTTCCAATGACGAAACTTCGCTAGCCTCTTTCTACCCTATTGCTATTCCCATGGCAATTGCTCTGACGAACTACTTTTTTTTAGTTCCACCGGTTATAAGCTTCACAGGTAGGGCACACCACAACGCGTACAGGAACGATTCCCATTCTCCTCGTATTCCCTTAGTAAGAAGAAAGTTCCACTCAGAACGCTTCTTTCCAAGAGACGCTACTTTGTGAAACAGACTCCTGAGAGGATGCTTTCCCGAACACTCTCATCTTAATCTTTTTATGGTTAACTGTCATCTTTTCCACATATCCTCATAAACTGGACTTCTTGCCTTCCACTCTCATCGTCGTAATCGGCACCCGCTCGCATCCGACATGATATCTCAACGTTGCCTTAAGCCTTCTCTGAATCCGTGAGGAAATTGTCCAACATTCAGTGCAGGACTGATATTACATAGCGGTGCGCTACTTGTTTTTTTCTTTTCTAACAATATTTTCCTTCTTCAAAATACTTCGCCATACCAATCTGCCTTTCAATTTCTGTGTCACATTATTTAGGCATTTATTTAACCAATTCCTACTTAGGCAAGCTTGCTTGTCTTTGACGACTTGAATTAGTACCTCGAATTTTGGGTTGTTCGAACAACCATAAATTTTGTCATTTAACATTTCATCATTTGTCCTTTCTTCACACTTTTCTTTACTAATATTTGTCGTTTCTTCACACTTTCCTTTACTAACATTTGTCCTTTCTTCTCACTTTCCTTTACTAACATTTGTCCTTTCTTCTCACTTTCCTTTACTAACATTTGTCCTTTCTTCACACTTTCCTTTACTAACATTTGTCCTTTCTTCTCACTTTCCTTTACTAACATTTGTCCTTTCTTCACACTTTCCTTTACTAACATTTGTCTTTCTTCACACTTTCCTTTTACTAACATTTGTCCTTCCTTCACACTTTCCTTTACTAACATTTTGTCCTTTCTTCTCATTTGTCCTTTCTTCACACTTTCCTTTACTAACATTTGTCCTTTCTTCTCATTTGTCCTTTCTTCTCACTTTCCTTTACTAACATTTGTCCTTTCTTCTCACTTTACTTTTACTAACATTTGTCCTTTCTTCTCACTTTCCCTTTACTAACATTTGTCCTTTCTTCACACTTTCCTTTACTAACATTTGTCCTTTCTTCTCACTTTCCTTTACTAACATTTGTCCTTTCTTCACACTTTCCTTTTACTAACATTTGTCCTTTCTTCACCCTTTCCTTTACTAACATTTGTCCTTTCTTCACACTTCTTTACTAACATTTGTCCTTTCTTCACACTTTCCCTTACTTTCATTTGTCCTTTACTTCTCATTTCCTTTCCTTTGTCCTTCACACTTTCCTTTACTAACATTTGTCCTTTCATCACACTTTCCTTTACTAACATTTGTCCTTTCTTCACACTTTCCTTTACTAACATTTGTCCTTTCTTCTCACTTTCCTTTACTAACATTTGTCCTTTCTTCTCACTTTCCTTTACTAACATTTGTCCTTTCTTCACACTTTCCTTTACTAACATTTGTCCTTTCTTCACACTTTCCTTTACTAACATTTGTCCTTTCTTCACACTTTCCTTTACTAACATTTGTCCTTTCTTCACACTTTTTTTTTCTAATATTTGTCCTTCCTTCACACTTTCCTTTACTAATATTTGTCCTTCCTTCACACTTTCCTTTACTAACATTTGTCCTTTCTTCTCACTTTCCTTTACTAACATTTGTCATTTCTTCACACTTTCCTTTACTAACAGATTTTGCGTTTTTTTGTGTATGTCATTAACGCTGTATCCGCTGCATATGGTGAAACACAATCTTCTAAAGTTATCACTTTGAAAAATAGATCGATTGTTTGTCTGGACGATCAGTTGATGTCTAGAAAATTAAAGAGAATTGCAAACTAGATCAACTCAGTTAATTCTTTATTTGCAAATAATTATATGTTCTGGAGATAGAAAGTGAAAAAAAGACTGAATTTACCTCATCTCTGCTTCTGAATTTTAAATAATCTGTACCCATAGAAAATAAAGGTTTAACATTTACCACACTGTCTCCACTTTGATAAAGAAACATTTGATTTAAGCACTATCAATGAATCGAGCATTTGATTGTAAGCATAATAAATATATTGAGCATTTGATTGTAAGCATAATAAATATATTGAACATTTGATTGTAAGCATAATAAATAAGATGGCTGATGCTAACCTCTGGGAGATTGCCTCATTACACCTTCTCAGACTAACGTTTTCAACTGACACAAACGGGGGAAAACGTTTGCTAAATCAATTTGTATGTCTTCAGGTAAGAAAGTCGCTTCATGATGTCGTGCTAGACAATTTTCTCGCCAGAATCTATTTTACACATTTGGTCTGGGGCTCATGAAATATATTTAGAGATTCTTGATAAAATCCAAAGAAGAATCTGCTATGTTATTAGTCCTGACTTGGCATCTCGGCTTCAGTCCCTTTTTCACCGCCGTAACGTAGATTCCTTTTCTATAAATACTTTCATGGTAAACTTTTGCTGTGATACCTAAATTTTATGAATTTCAGTGCAGTACTAGATTGGCAGCAAGGTCTCATTAATTTACAGTTGAAATAGCTAGATGTAACTGTAAGTTCTATTTTAACAGTTTCTTCAGTCGCACTTCTCGACTGTGGAACTCTCTTCTGGCTCCTCCCTTCCCAGTAAACTTTGATCTCCAAAAATTTAAATGCAATGTCAATCGTTATCTTCTTTCTTTTTAATTCTTGTTTTTTTTTTATTGTTCTCTCTCCTTAATATTAATTTTCTCATATTCTCTCACACTTAGTAACCCCTTGCATCCTAGTGTCTTTATTGCCTTGCTTAAAGTGAAATGATAGAAGAAAAATATGTGAATTGATTGATTTTCTGCTTAAAATTACATAAATGAGCCGCCATTATTCAGCTCTAAAAATATATTAATTTCATTCAAGTAATTAAGGAGTGCGAAGTTACAATACTTTGTTACTAAACTCTGATAGAAGGGATTTCTTCCCTCAACCTCCCGTGTTACTGCTAAGATTTCTGAAGAAAAAAAAACATTTCTATTTGTGATTGCGAAACTGTGTGAGAAATTCCAGTAAATATCAACAACGTCGATTTAATTGCTGATTTCTCTTCAAATAAAATATTGCAAAGGGAAGATAATGGAAAATACGGACTTCATTTCGTTAAATGACTTTGCGGGGTTTCATTTTAATCATGGCGTGAAATTCAAACCAGGGTTTCAGGTTTCTCTTTTGTCTATGTATCAAATTCCAAGAACAGAAACTCATTTTATAAACTCAATTTCATTAGGATATGATTCACACACACTCGGCACCCTCCACACACACACACACACACACATATATATATATATATATATATATATAT